TTGCATGCTGTGTCTGTCATACTTCCAGTGCAGCCGGATTTGTTGGTACAATAAATATATCCATGCTCTGATACATTAAACCAATGATGTTAAACTTGGGCATGAATTCTACATGCAGGCTCAGGACTGTGGCAGTTTCTCCTTTTAAGAGTATTCAGTAACAGATTGATATAAAAGCATTAAAAATTCCTGGCATGTCATGTAATTCACATAAAATTTGTTGTATTCTTGCCTATTTAATTGTCAACCAGCATTATATCTTCTATGTGTATCTTGAATTACTGTTTTCTCACAATCTCATTGGGCTGAACTTTCATTATGGAACTTTGTTCCTCAGGATGAAATTTTGGTCTAGAGCACAAAAATACCAGCAGCAGGGTGGTTTTAAAAGAAGTGCTATCCCGCAAGAGCCGCATTATGTCAAGGACTGAGGGCAAAGAAGAGACCTTCCAGGAGCCAAAGATCAGCAGATCTAGAAGTAGGAATTGCTGATGTATGCTGGGAAGAGTGAGGCCTCTCCCATTCCTATTCACCAGCCTACAATCAGGCTAGTAAGGAGGCCAAACTAGTTGGGGCCTTTACAAATTGGGTAAACCCTCCCCACAGAAGCAGGCACTGCCTTGGCTACTGTCAATTTTCAGACTGGATGATTGCAAAGAGATTGCAGCCTCTGGCTTTAATAGCTGCAGGCCTTGTCACTGAGACATTGCATGGTTTCACTGACAGCACCTCCACCATCCCCAATGTAATGGCAATCTGTGCAACAGATGTACAATCAGTCACTTTTCAGAGCATACCCATATTTAAGGGGCTGAATTGATTACCCCCTGTGACTAAGCTGCTAACTGTTGTTTAAATCAGTCGAACTCCTCCATAACCCCATGGAGACACGAATGTGTTATGGACCCAGCTGATGGGTATTTACCTCCAATTTTCTCCACCCACCTCCTGTCTTAGTCGAAGAGCCATGGAACATTCAGACCTATAAATGTCCTTTCCTGTTCCTTTTACGACAATGTTCTGGTGTATTTTTGAGTTGTTTTAAGTCAAGAGGCTTTTTCCAGACCTACTTTCTTCACATAATAGGTTATCCTTTTCCCCCCATGTATTTTATTCTATTACTGTACCTTTTAATTTTTTTTTATCTCCTCTCGGTATTCAAACATTTTCTTGAAACCATTGTGCACTCCAGCAATGGATGATTGATTTTTGCTCACCCTGTGTGGTATTGAAGGGTCGCTGTGATTACCTGTAGATTTTTGTTGGTGCCACTAATGAAAAGGCATTCTCTCAAAGCACGTTTTGAAAAGTTGCATGTTCTTTTAATTTCATTCAAATTTTGTTGACATTAGTGAAAAACATGTTTTTCTCCTGGGGTTTGTGTGAAGATGGGAACACCAGACTCTTTCTGAAGTAACCAATAGCAGTCTTGTGGCTGCTTTTGTTTTAAAGCAACTTTAAAATGCAGTTTTACAATGTGCAGGATGAACGCCCTTTACTGAAAAATCAGCTGAATCGGAATGAGAGATAGTAGGAACTGCAGATGCTGGAGATCAGAGATAGTAGGAACTGCAGATGCTGGAGAAGCAGAGATAGTAGGAACTGCAGATGCTGGAGAATCAGAGATAGTAGGAACTGCAGATGCTGGAGAATCAGAAATAGTAGGAACTGCAGATGCTGGAGATCAGAGATAATAGGAACTGCAGATGCTGGAGAATCAGAGATAGTAGGATTTTGAAGAAGGCTCTAGGCCCGAAATGTCAGCCTTCCTGCTCCTCTGATGAATCGGAATGATGCTGGCAGGGTCAGACTTCCTGTGTTCTTTCTGGCAATTTGTAGTTTAAGCAAGTTAGAGCAAGTTCTCACAATTGTTGAATGCTTGATTTAATTTAAACTTTACCCTCTGATGCTGGGCAAACACTTTCCCTTGCTTTAAATTTCTGCTGCTTGCAATCTCTGTCATCTCACTAAGCGGTCCCAAGGTTTTCCGGTGTGCTTTAAATCCTGCTAGCTCTGGACCCACAGCTAAACAGAAGGAGCAAGTGAGCAAAGAGCAAATGGACAGGTAGCTGGATGGGATCAAAGAGAGGGAGAAGCTTGAAAGAAAAAGAGAATGTGACAGAGGTAATTTGAGCAATGTAAAGGAGGAAAACAAAGACAGTGAGAATAAGAAATGGTGAGGAGCCTAATATTACAACTAATGTGGTTTCATGCAAGGACCAGCTGGTCAATTGCACCTAGCCTTTATTTTCATGTGGTAGAATGTGGGTGGCACGGTGGCTCAGTGGTTAGCACTGCTGCCTCACAGCGCCAGGGACCCGGGCTTGATTCCACCCTTGGTCTGTGTGGAGTTTGCGCATTCTCCCCGTGTCTGTGTGGGTTTCCTCCCACAGTCCAAAGATGTGCAGGCTAGGTGGATTGGACATGCTAAATTGCCCGTAGATTTGATGGGTTATAGGGGGATGGGTCTGGGTGGGATGCTCTGAGGGTCGGTGTGGACTTGTTGGGCCGAAGGTCCTGTTTCCACACTGTAGGTATTCTAAGATCTATGATCTAATGCTTGGATATCAGCAGCCCACTCTGTCTCCTCCAATCCAGGGTGCCAGCTATACTCCTGGGAGTTGAAGGAAAATTTACCTCAGTTGAGGCTAGAAATCAAGAAAATTCTTTTCTAACCCTGAAGGCAGCCAAACAGATTCCAGGGGTTATGTGATGACATATCGCTGATGATAGAATTTTTCTGAAGACTTACAAGTCTGGACAATCCTGTTGCAGGCTGGCAAATTGCTCAAGAATCAACAAGATTCTGTGACTTTCCTGGTACCAATGCCAAGTCTGTGCTCAAGAAACTTACAGCTAAGTTCCCAGCACTCCCAACATGTTTGAATTTGAATAATCTGTCATTGAACCAAATCTCATCCTTTCATATTTCAGTTAAATCTCTTTGAAGTCAGTGCTTTTCTAGAGTTTAAAGTTGCCTAAATCTAGTGTGGTAGCTGAGGACCTTTAACCTTTCAATCCACCGATCATGCTGTAAATCATTTCTAGGGCCTGCTTATGAGGGCACTGATGTTGGATAGATTATTAATAAATATAGTTTGACCAAGACATTACTCAAGAAAGAATAATCACTGTGAAGTTAGTTTTTACAGAATGCAAGCAGGTGATAAGAAATGGGAAGCCTATTTCCAATTTTCGTTTCTACTGAAAAGGCAAGTCCTTGAGCACTGCATCTTCCTATTTATCTATTTCTAAATTTCTGCCTGACACCAGCCCATCACCTCTCATGTATAAGCTCCTTAGGCCCACACAAGTGTCTCTACATTCACAGAATGGTTCCATTATAGATGGAAGCCATTCAGCCTGTATGTCCTAACTACCTCTATGAGAGCAACTCGGCTAGTTCCACTCCCTCACCTTTTTTCCTTGTAGTCCTACTGTTTGCTTTTCTCTTAAGATAATTAACCCAGTTTCCTTTTCAAAGCCACTTTTGAATCTGCCTCCACCACACCTCGTATATTTCAGATCTTAACCACGCTTTATATAAAAAGATTTTTTGTCATATTGTTTCTATTCTTTTGTCAGTCACCCTAAATCAGTGTCCTCTAGATCGTAAGATTTCTGCCTGTGAGAACAGTTTGTCCCCACCGAGTCTGTTGAGATGCTTCAAGATTTGAAAACATTTCATAAATCTCATCTCACCACTTTCTTCACAAAAAACAGCTCACCTTCTGAAATCTATCCTAAAATTGGACAAAATACTCTAGTTGAAAGCAAACCTTCAATGTATAAATCTTCATTGTAACTTACTTAATTTTGCATTCTTTTTGATATTTATAAAGCCCAGAATCCCACTTTCTCAACCTGCACAGACACCTTCAATGATTTGCGCACATATTCCCCACAGATCTCTCTGCTCTTGCATCCCCTTTATAATTGTATTCTTTATTATGCTTCCCTTGTCTTGTTAACAATGTTGGCCAGTCTGTATTTAATTGCATTAAATTGGATGTGGTCATTTACCAGTCTGTCTGTATGAAGTCTATCACTATCCTCCTCACAGTTTGTAATATTTCCAAGTTTTATGGCATAAACTTGCAGGAACTTGCAGAGTGTTCATCTGATGATTTTGTGCAGATAATTAATGATGTTTGTGAAAAGTAATGGTACTAACACCAAATTAAGTTCATAATCAAATATTTAGCCAGGCTAAGAAGACAGGCCTTCTTCCAGAAGCCATGTCCTGTTGGTTGGGGGAGTTTCAACTTCAGAAAGACAGGCTTGGGTAAAAGGTAGGATGTTAAAGTCTGAAAAGCCTGCTCCCTGAGCCCTACCCCACTATTTGTGACTTTAACTGGGGTGGACAAGTAATTAATCCGTTACAGGGAAATGAGTCCTGAACCTCCACTCCACTACCACTTAAGGCTGGCAAATTTCCCAAAATCAGCATCCCAACCAATACACTTCCACCTCCTGTCCATTGAAACCTCCTACCACCCCATCCCAAGCAGTCACCTCTCCAACAATCCCTCCCCACCATCTGATAAAACCCTCCCTACCCCCAGTGCAGGCACAGACTGTGCTGGCCCAGTGACCTTTAATAACCAGGTCGCATCCAACTGCCAAGTTTGACAATCGGGCTAACCTCTGGACATGGAACCAATAGACAGCTCTGCAGCGTGTGTAGGAATCCCAGTTTCTGGTAACTTTCTCATGCACCCACTCCTGGTGAGTGATTTCCCTAAAACGTCAAACTGTGTCAATGAGATGGGAGGGAGAGAAAGTTGTGAGGTAGGAGGATAGGAGTAAATACGTGTACCTAGAATTAGGAAGGCAGTCAGAGAATGGGGATTCAAAAAAAGGAGACTGACCAGTGAATCTGTTGTTGAACAAATATTGGTCCAGAACCAAGGAGAACTTTCCTGCTTTTGTTTAGTGAAGCATTGAGTTTTAATAATGCTACAGCTATCACATAACTTTTAAATACATCTTTCTTCCAGCTATTTGAAGCCAGATGTGGACAAGAAATCAAAACATAAGACAGCTGTGAAAAAGAAAACACTTAATCCAGAATTTAATGAGGTATTTACACAACTTAATTTAAATAACTCCACTTCATGGTATGTTTGGCTTAAAGAAAACAATTCTCAGAAAGATGCAGCAAGAGTAACAAGGCACTGCATAATGCATTGGAGCACAGTTATGCTGAATTGAAAGATACAATGGTTTCCCCAAGCAGTAAGATAACACATTTTTCAGAAAGAAACAGAAGGGAAAATGTAGGTCAGTCCTTCTCATTTTCATGAACTCCTAGCAGCTACAGAGATAATTGTGAGCAACCTTTACACTGATATTCTTTGCAGTTAGTATACGAGCAGAACGTTGGGAATTGTGGATACTTAGATCCCAAATTTTGATCCTGAGGTGGACAACTTGAGTCAGGAGATTTCCCACACCTGCAGCACCCTCAGCAATCCATGAATAGCACGATCTACGTTCTGGGGCGAGGGGTAAGTAAGTGGGTACAGGGTGGAATCGAGTCTGCTGCTTGTAGTTACAGATCAAATGTGGGCTCAATGCTAAGGCAACCACTTTAAAAGACCTGTCTTAGTTCCCCAGGGCTTCATCCTAGCTGGTTTCTTAAAAATCTACCCTGTAGTCCTCTTTTCATCCTCTAATTACTCTCAATTTCCCTTTCATGCCAACTTTTACAACCCATGCTGCCACCCATCTCTACGGCTTCTTATAGCCCCATTCCAACTGCATTCCAACTCATGCCAATGCATGGTCCCTTATGACCCCCTTGTCAACTCTAACCCACCCTCCACCCTAGGCCCTTACTCCCTCCATGCTAACTGTATTAATTTAAAGAGGTCAGCCAGAAGGACCTCATTGAATAGGAGTTCCCTGACTAGGACTGTTTACCTGGTCCAAACAGGGAGCCCTGGCTTACAGATATTAACAGGCATGTCAAAGGTTCAGTTCACTTTAGAGCTGGCTCTGAGGAAGCTGCATTAGTGTCCAGGACTCTCCATGTGTAAATAAAGGGTCCCTCTGGAGTTTATTTCACTAACCTGCCTCAGTATCTTCCTGTAACCTGTCACAACAATGGGACCATTTTTGCCTTGGAAATACATTAGAGATCAGTTCTTTCTAATGGATTTCTCCTGTTTCGGGACCACCCTGTCTTCCAGTAAAGTCTGAGGATGCTGGCAGTCTCTTCTGCTCAAAACAGACACGAGCTTCCAGTGCCTATGTTAAAGAGGTGGGCAAGATCAGCTTGCCACTTCCCCATCCACAAGGAAACATGACTAAATCCCCTGTACATCCTTTGAAACCTGGTGTAACCGAGGCCTTGGAGAGACCCATAGGTAGCAGATCTATAAAAAACTGAAGAATAACCAAAGTAAGTATATAAGGGCTGTCAAATACCTTTCTTGTATTTACAAATGACTGAATAATTTGTTCCGGGACACTATGGAATTTTTCTGTTAGAAATCAATAATTCTTTTCACCCTTTGTTAGTTATAGATCTAATTATGAATAGTCATGTGGTAACTGTGCTCAAAAAATGCAGAGGAGTCAGACTGAAGCTTTCTTTTTATTAAGGTGAAAATTTGATTTTAATTATCACATTGGAATATTAGCAGATGAAATTTCAGAACTTTTGTGTGTTTAATTTGGAATAGTAGTTTAGAAGCACTGTAAATTGCAGTTTGGAGATGTTTCAAATTGACTAATAGTTAATAAATATGTATCAATTTGCTCTAAATTTATCTTCTCAATTCAATGATCACATCTGTACATGACAGTTGCATGGTTGGAGGCTGTGTGGTCCATTACACAAATATTCTTTAATTGCAGATCCTTGTGATTGATTCCCTTGTATGAAGGCTTAAATGTAAATGAGTGATAATTTAGCTAACTGCAAATAAAGTGACCCAGAATTATTTCACAACAGTTAATAGCAGATAGCTTGAATGCTGCCATCTTGCAACAGAATAATGAGAAAATGATTTTGTATTTTAAAGAAGCTTAAACTAGAGAAATATCGAATATTCATAAGTATGGTCAAGTTGACGAAAGATTGAGTTGTGTTTCCAAATTCATTCATTTCACAGCAGGGTGTGTCCCCACCCGGCTTTGAATGAACATTGACAGGTTACACATCAGAAAATCGAGTTGCTCTGCCTGGTTATCAATCAGATGATCACAATGAAAATATAACCATGAATTTCAAACAGAGTAATTAGCAAATGATAAGCATATGCATGTTCATTACTCTTTCTTTAAATACAGGAATTTTGCTATGAAATCAAGCAAGCAGATTTGGCAAAAAAGACTCTGGAAGTAACGGTTTGGGATTATGATATTGGAAAATCAAATGACTTCATTGGTGAGTGAAATTGACTTTGTAATTTAGTAACTTGTTCATTACTTTTGAAAAGTAAGATGTTGTGTTGAAGACACATGGCCAATTAAAGTCTCAGCAAGGTAACTATACATTCAATTCATCTCATTCTGTCATTCTTCCTTTTATTCCAGATGCACTATTGATATCTTAGATATTTGTTTTGCTATTTTTGTTTTCCAGTTTCTTCCTCCCTTTCTTCCTTCCTTCCTTCCCCTGTAACATTGCTTGGTCAAGTACTTGTGATCCTCTACAATGTTGGAAGTCATATTTGTGCATCCAATGCAATTAATATATTGATTTGGATCCTTGTAAGACTTGCTTTGTGTATAAGTAGCTTGTCAATTTTCTGCTAGATAACTAAATAGGTTAATACAATTAAGCACCTTAGTTAATAACTGCTTTCTGTAATTATTCATAGTTTCACTGTAATATGCAGTAGGCTCTTGTTCTACTGTTGAGATTCTTATGGTGAAGGATATAACTGGAGTCAATCTTTACATTTTTGTAAGCTTTTATTTACAGAGATGGACATTACAAATATGCAGTTCTTAATTCCACAATCATAGTTTCCATTTGCTCCTATTTAAAGTAGCATACATGAATCCCCAATTAATGCCAAGTATTTGAATAGATAAGAAAAGCAAGCAGCTCTCCAGAGTTACTAGATGATGCTGATGAAACCTCTGCAAGAAGTGTAAAGCTAAATATTCCAAAATGCTTCATTGCAATATTAATTTAAAAATCTCATTTTTAAAAATTGATTCTACCGGCAGCATCATTTTGCATTTATCTCTTCAGTGTAGAAAGGAGTCTTTACATTTTAGCTTATTCAGAGGTTGATGAAATGGCTTTGAATCTTGCACATATTTTCACTTCGAACTCCTCTGATGCCTAGATTTTCATTTAGTATATTTTCCTTAACACGTTCATTTTCCAGAGCACAGAACGTGCCTAACAACTGTTTCTGCTTAGGTGGGGTGACGCTTGGAATTAATGCAAAAGGTGAACGTTTAAAACATTGGTTTGACTGTCTGAAGAGCAAGGACAAGAAAATAGAGCGCTGGCACACATTGACCAATGAACTCCCAGGATCTATTCTCAGTGATTGATGCCACGTGTCCATTGAGAATCTTGCTTTGCAAGTCAGCACGCAACAAGTGAGGTTCTCTGAGAACACGCATAAAGAACTGTCACAGATAGGTTGGGCCTCTTGCACTTTTTGTTTCAGAACCAACGCTCTCTAGACCTCTTCACAGATACCTAACTTTGCCTGGTAATCTTGTGGCTTATATAATGGCTTCTGTAAATGTTTACATGCATTTGTGTATCTGAGCACTTGGGATAAATATCAGAGCTGTACCTTTGGATGACTTTTTATAATTGGTGTAACAACAAGAATTATCCATTTTTGATGATTGATACTTTTAGTGACCCAGGCCAAGCAGATTATTGACTGTTTTGGGGTGTTTAATTTTTATTGCTACAAAAGTAAAAAAGGTCTCTGAAGTATTTAGTTATATCTCTGCTCTCTATTGCAGAAGTGACCCTATTCCAAAATAAGTTGAACAAAGGAATGGGACCTGTTCTGTGTTTAGTATTATTTTGGAGAAATAAATTACTTTTGATACAGATCTGGAGTACTATGGACATAGTAGTGGCGAATTTTTCACAGGCTTTGATTACTTTATTTGAAGTTTTATTCTTTATTTAATGTGTTTTCAGAGAAGCCCGTCAATATTCCAGAAATGAATTGACAAGGTTAAAGCAAAGCTAAAGGTAGCACACACAAAATAATTGCTACGTGGTTCACATTTTAATTATCTTCCTTTTATCACGACAATACATACTGTTTCTCTTTTTAAAGACCTAGATTAAAAATTAAGCTGTGGGAGTGACAAATACTGTAATATTCCTCAATTCAGATTTTCACTATTAATGGGTCACTTTCATGAATCTTTAATGAATCAATGTAAATCCACAAGACAGCTTTCAATTAGTATTTGTTGTATCTCAAGTCCTTAGTTGAATATGTGGAATCAAAAAAATGTCAGGGGGTAGAAAAGTAATTAATAGCCCATCATTTGAAATATAACAGTTCACATTTGCAGGACAAGGGTAAAAGGAGTGAGATGTATGAGATAGTTCTGTCCAAGAACTAGAACAGGCACAAATTACAGCCTACCTAGTCATGTAGAAACAATTTATTTTCTAGTAAAAATTTTAGACACTTCCAACAAAAAATTGATCTCAATGTATTTTCTGACATTTTGGCACTGTGCTCTGTTCCGTCTTCCAAGCCCAAAATAATTACAAATAAGGATAACCATTAATTTAGTAAGAAAATCAAAGTAGTTTTAAGCATTTTACAGCAAAAAGTAACTAACCCAGGTCCCTCATATCCATTCATGAACTGAAAAAAATTACAAATGTTCTATATTCCTCAGACACTAACACATCTATCCCTGCCCATGACCACCCAACATCAGGCACAGGATTGTGACAATTACATCAATTATGCACGTGCTAATTTAATCATTTGGAATAAAAAAGCGTTTTATTTTTACCAACTACAGAAGGTAAAATCATGTATTGATATAATTAAAACAAACCTTATAACTGAACTCTAATACCGAGTCACTCCCAAAAGTGAAGCTGCCATTTTCTTCTTTTAGAACCTAATTGAACTGCTGTATCTTTCAAACAATTTTTGATATTTTGCCCATAGAAGCTTCAATTCCCAGAGAAAAATATGTAAGTACCTGAAAGCCCACAAGATTACTACCTTGGTTCGAGCATCCTTGAAATCATGTATTTTTGTGATCTAATGAAAGAGGGAGAAAAAGAGCTGCCAAAACAGAATTATAGAATTATTACAATGCAGAAACAGGTCTCACCTCGTCAAAAAATAGAATGCTGTAGATTTCAAAAATCTGGAATAAAAGCAGAAAATACTGGAACTACTCAGCAGCTTTAATAATGTGGAAAAGACAAAAACTTATTGTTCTTAATCAATGACCATTCATCAGCAGTGGGAAAAGTTAGAAATGTAATAGACTTGAAGCAAAGGTAGGTGAATCAAGGACAATAGGAAGGTTTTTATTGGGATGAAAGACAGGAGAGAGATTGAATGACAGAAGAATTGGTCTATCTGGATCAAGGGGAATGAAGATCAACCAAGAAAAGAAACAAAAACATGAACAATACACTGGGAGCAGGTGTGCTGATGTGTGCAAGCACAACATGGGAGTAAAACCAATGAACGTATTGTTGAATTGGGAAGGCTGAAAATTGCTTCTTCGAAAGGTAAGGTATCATTCCTCAAACTCATATTGAGCTTCATTGAAAAAGTGCAGCAGACTAGGGGCAGAGAGCAAGATGGGGAATTAAAATGACAGGCCACAGGAAGGGTCATGCTTGTGGGCTGAGAAGAGATGTTTGGTTTCCAAAATATTGGGGATCCTGCAAGGGCGAACTGCAAACACGGTGAACTGGACTGAAAGAAATTCATGTAAAGCACTGCTTCACATGGAAAGAATGTTTGGAGTCTTGGATAGTGAGGAAAGGATAGGTATTAGGAAATAGGTGATAGGAAAGGAAAGGGTACATAGGTAAAGGATAGGTGTTACATTGGGGTGGAAAGCTTCTAAAGGAAAGGGATAGAGTATTGCATTGATTGACGAATGGAGCAGGCTATCACAAATGGAATGACACCTTGTGAAGATGACACATACATGGCTTTTAATTGTCATCACTCCTTTGGAATTTCTCATTCCCACTGTTAGCAGGATCTCTAACCCAGCAAACAATGCACCAAGACCACTGTATGCAAATTAGCATACCAAGAAAATGAATAACTGTTATTAATGATTTATAATTAGCAAAAAATACTGAGTAGTGTATGATTTGTACTAGTTATTGACAATTATTCAGCAATACCACCATGAAAATAAGCTCCATTTCTTTTGTAATGGATAATTTAAAAAATGATCTTGCAGGAATGCATGGAAAACTGCATTAAAAAAATCTAGTAATCAGATGTAATCTCAGGAAAGAAAAAACAAGCAATGTAACTACATTACAGTGACTTTGAATATATTGGTTCAGCCCCAATCAAAAGATTCCACCTCAAGATTTAAAATATTACTGGCACACTGATCTTCATTAATGAAAAAGGATGGGGGAGTAGGAAAAAGAATTTAAGAATTCTTCTAAATACTGGAATACTACAGATGAAGTTTTCAATAAATCCAATTGTCACTACAGTTTCAGGCTAATAAATAAAGTACACATATTCTTGTAAAACCATCTTTAAATCAGTTTGTAGAAGGAAAATGAACCAATTCAATTTAATCATTCATTGCTTTCTTCCGTGTAGACTGCTTGTATCAAAAACACATTACTGTTTTTTAATGCTACAGAAAATTCATGGCATTGACCAGTTAATGGGCCACATTTGTGCCTCTTTCATTCCCTTAAGTAAAACACACTAGATCTACCTGCAGGGTTCTGGGTCCTGGTTCTTTTGTGATAGTAATTGACCGTGGAAATGTAGCAGTTTGCCTGATTCTACTGCGAAAATACTAGGACCATATCAAATTATTGGTCAGAAGGAATGGTAATCAGTTACATCGAATTTAATTTCAGGAGATTTCACTTGAGTGCATTGTTGTTTGTGCAGCATTAATAATTATAGCACTCTGTGTCAAAATGTATGGCTGTTTAAAAGTGCTATGATACATACTGCTCAGTACTTTAAGCTAACTCTATGTATACAAGATAAAACATTACAGAGTTTGACATTTTTGACATCTCATTGAAAATCACATCACAAAACCTTGAGTGTCAAAAATGATATTTAAATATTTGGATTTTTATATACAACTTACTTGCGTAATTAATAACAACAAAACCATGTTGAATGTGCAAAACCCACTTTGATGATGAATTCTTTATGCTTTTTAAGAATCTGAATTTTGTATGGATTTCAATTATTGTGCATGAAGCTTGACTGGCTGCTATTATTGTACTAACTTGAAATGCAACAAGCAACAAACATTCCAATTTGAAAAATTTTGTGGATTTTAAAACCAATAACATGTTTAGAGTAACGTTTGCAACATTACAGTCTGCATGAAGTGTTAATTTCCTTATGCCCTTAAAATGATTGGCAGTTGATCATATATTTTCTGTAAATGAGCCTTGCACTACAGGTTATTGTTCTATGATGCACATTATCTACTTTGTTCATAATCAACCAGCCTTCCTTAAAGCGGAAGAGATACATATTATGCCAAAGGTTCATTTTAACTTCCTCTATTATCTGTGACATAAAGTTCCTTGATTGTGTGCAGTTATTCAGTTTAACCTTGTGTGGAACAAGTGACCATGTAATGGAGCAAAAAAGGACAAAGACTTGCATTTACTCTCTATTGCCCAACTCTGTTATAACTCTTTAAAGAATCTTAAACATAATTCCTGAATGTTAATTTTATTTAAAATGCCTAATCAATAAAGAACACAGCTATATTTTCTCCTTTTTTTTGCATTCTGTGCTGTTCACAGCTGAGTAGGATTATAAGATACCAAAACTGAACAGGATTTATTGTACTTTGTAACCACACGTTACAAGCACAAACCCTAATAGAATGAAGGGCGTGTTGGCAGGTAATCACAGTTGTCAATACAGGTTAACTTTTTGCAGCAGAATTCAAGGGTTGATCTGAATTAAATAGATATTTTCAGAACTGTTTAGAGAAAAACATATTCATCTATTTACAAAAAAGACACATCAAATAGACCAAAGAATACAACAAAAGACTTTTTGTGTTTGTTAAAGTTAGATTCAGTTTTGAAAGAAGTTTTTGTTTTTATTTCCACCTTTGAAATGGTCTCAATTACTTTGAATTGACAACATCAATAATTTATATTTGTGAAGTAATATTAATGTAATAAAACATTCCAAGGCACTTCTCTTTTTTAAAAAAATTAGGGTTACAAACAAAAACATTTGTGTCTAAAGATCCAGTTTACTTTGAGAATTTAAGGTGAAAACCTGCCATGATTTGACAGTATCATTTAAGTGCTGAAATTAAATACCAGTACACTACAAAATACACAAACAGTGGTCTTGTGTTCCACTCATGGCAAAATCTCTGACTAGAAATTGATCAGTTGATTAAAAGTACAAAATATCAATTTGAATTTTTTACTTTTTTCTCTTTCTAGTTTACCAGATTTTTCATGTAACTGTATGGAATGCATGCAGATAAATATCGTGAATCACCTTTACAATGGATGTTTCTAATCATGTTTTACTACAATGTGGGGAATGCAACGTCAACTTTGAAAGTATCTTTTATTGCTTCTCACAATAACTGACTTTTGTATCTCAGCCTGTCTATAAAAATTAAACTGTGATATTTGAACATGAATTTATTGCCTTGTGATTTTTTTTTTAAGGATGATATGTCATTGTACTGATTGTAATGAGGTCAGCCAGGTGGACCTCATACAATGAGTTTCCTGATTGGGGCTGTTAATCTGATCCAATCAGGGAGCCCTGGCTGACCGATAAGAACAGGAGTGTTAAGAGGTGCTGTTCACTCAGAGATGGCTCTGAGGGAGCCAAATCAGTGTCAATGACTCTCCACCTAAATAGCGGTGATTTAGTGATGTGGTATTGGCTTCTGTGTAATTATTTCAATGGCAACGGGAGAGGGATTAATGATGTAACCGTGCAAAAGTGCCTACTAGCTGAAGCTGAACTGTACTTCAAACAGGCACTACAACCGGCTTTGTCATTGGAAAATGCGGCAAGTGGAGTATTCGAGTTGCAGGGTATTCCGATGGAAGTGGACATCCTCGCCAGTCTGACTGAGCTTGGGGAACACAACTTGAGTGAAGGTAATTGCACAGCCTCACTCACGACACACCCTGAACAGAGGGACTCCAGGTCAGCCCACAGCAAAACCCCAAAACAAACCTAAGCCTCGGCCAAATGGTTAAAATTTTCTTCAGGACCTGGGCCAGCAAGCCATTGTAGTTGCTGCCGGTACGCGGACTCGAGACAGAAATGGAGTCTTACTAGATCTAAATGCAGTAAGAAAACTATTTGGTCGGCATCCAGGAGAGTGCACACCCTAGACAGTCCACCTACGTCTAGTTTGGCACAGTTAAGTCGCTTAGCAACATCCAAATCATAACCAATCAAAATAAATGTCTGATTAAATGGTCACCTGGTTCTAATGGAGATCGATACTGACATGGCCATTTCAGTGATCGCAGAATCAGTTTTTATCAAAATTTGCTCTGGAATCCAGCCTTTATGTTTGTGAAAGGCCTCGGCTAGAATAAGAACCTACACCTGGGAACCTTTACAGATTAAGGGTACAACTTCAGTTACAGTCTTTTATGAGGAGCACTAATGGGGCAAAATTGGTTGAGAAAGACTCACCTAGATTAGCTCAACATTTTTCAGTCGGAAAATGGCTGCCTAATTACATACCTGGAAGTTTTTTCCAAGAAGGTCTAAAGACTATCAGAGGAGCCAAGGCCAACTTGCAAGTTGACCAGGAAGCAATTCCACAATTCTGAAAGGCTCGTCCAGTGCCATTTGCATTATGAGCAAAAGTAGAGGCAGAAATCAGAAGGCTGGAAAGCAAAGGAATCATCAAACCGATACAGTTTGCAGGATGGGCAGTACTGGTCGTACAGATTGTGAAGCCTGACAGGTCGGTTTGCCTTTGTAAGGATTTTAAACAAATGGTAAACCTCTTTTTACAGCTGGATAAATAGTCAGTCCAGCTTTGTGCATAGAGATTTATGTGTAAAGCTGGCAAGGGAGTTGTCCTTCATGAGGCTGGACATGAGCCATTTGGACTTGAAATTGTGATTAGGTAAGGATTCCCAGAAGTATGCTACAATTAATACCCATAAGCATATTATTACGGAAAGTTCCTATATAACCTGGCCCCCATTCTAGCACCTTTGCATCAACCTTAAAAAGGGGTCAGCTTTGAAAATGGTCGCATATCCAAGCCATAGCTTTCAGCAAAGTGAAAAAATAGCCATCATCCTTGGCACACTGTGATCCCAAGTGAGATCTGGTATTAACATGTCATTCCTCTTTGTGTGGCATCGAGGTGGTATTAACTCATAGGTGGCCCAATGGAGAGGAACCCCCATTAACATATGCATCCAGGACATTGGTTAATGCAGACCATAAATATGCCCAAAAAGAGAAGGAAGTAGTTTAGCAGTTACTTTGGAGACAGGAAATTCCATCTATACTTTTACAGACTTAAATTTGTAATAATAATAGACCACAAGCCCCTGCCAGGTCGACTTAAAGAGGACAAGGCAGTGCTGCCCATGGCTTTAAACCGAATTCAGTGGTGGGATCTAATTTCTGAGATGCTCCAGGTACCAGAGGCGAGCTACTGTGTGTTACATGCTACCCATATCATGGTCAGGTTCCTCCAACTCTGCCTCAGTGCTAAAACACCCCAGGAGGAGCTATAAAAATAAATGAACTGATCTATGTTCTTGGACATAGAGGGGGAGGGATGTAACAATTGTAATGAGGTGGACCTCATAGAATGAGATCCCTGATTGGACCAGATTAACAGCACCAATCAAGGAGTCCTGGCTGACAGATATAAATAGGAGTGTCAGAGATTCTGTTCACTCAGAGAGCTGGATCTGTGTCAAGGACTCACCACATGTAAATAATTGGTGACTTGGTGATGAGATACTGACCTCTGCGGAGTTATTTCAGTAATCACTAGTTGGCATCAAGTAAAATAGTTACTTCTTGCCAGGGCTGGCTGTGACTGGAAATTCTGGGAAGCAACTGACTGTACACCAGAGAGTTCACACTGAATAGAGGCCGTTCATCTGCTCTGACTGTGGGCAGGGATTCAATGAGGCATCTCCTCAAGTTGCACCAGCAAGTTCAGTCTAATAAGAGATCTTTTAAATACCCAGACTGTGGGAAGTGCTTTAATTGTTCTGGAGACCTGAAGTCCCATCACTGTGTTCACATTGAGGCGAGACCTTGTAAATGTTCAGCCTGCAGGAAGTGCTTCAAAAGTTCCCTGGAGCGGATTGTCTATCAACATGTTCACTGATGAGAATCATCAGGTGCTCTCACTGTGGGACTAGGTTCAGGTGATCATCTCAAATGACTGTGTCCAGTTCTGGTTGCCCAGTTATAGGAAGATATCATTAAGCTGGAGAGGATTCAGAAGAGATTTACCAGGATGTTGCCGGGTGTGGACGGTTTGAGTTATAAAGAAAGGCTGGATGGTCTGGGACTTTGTTCACTGGAGCATAGGAGGTTGAGAGGTGACCTTATTGATGTTTATAAAATTATGAGGGGCATAGATAGGGTTGTCCTTTCCCTAGGATGGGGGATTTCAAGACCAGCAGGTACATGTTTAAGGTGAGAGGAGAGGAGAGAGATTTTAAAAAAAAAAGACATGAAGGCAATTTTTTTTTTAAACACAGAGGGTGGTTCACATGTGGAATGAACTTCCTAAGGAAGTGGTGGATATGGGCATAGTTACATTGTCTAAAAGACATTTGGATAAGTACATGAATGGGAAAGGCTTGAAAGGATATGGGCCAGGAGCAGGCAGGTGGGGACCAGTTCAGTTTGGGATTATGTTTGGCAAGGACTGGTTGGTTCCATGCTGTATGACTCAATATTGTTTTTAAATTTCCAGTGATATATTTTAGCATGTATTCTATTTAAATTTATTTCATTGTCTACCCTGCATGCATACCTTCTCAATTAAATGTCTTCAGGAAACATGGCGCTTGTTAATCTCTGACATTTTTAAAATTATCATTAAGGTGTACCTAATTAAAATTTTAGAATTTAGAATTTAGGTCAACATTTAGAATTATGAGAAATAGATACACAAAATCTTTATTTTAACTGGTAGGCAATTGACTTCAGAACAGAAATTGTTTGGGTAATACATATAGGCAAAAATGCCACCTTATTTTGAAATATTTGCAAAGTATTTAAAATAAAGATTTAATAAATGATTGCAATACCTCATTATTACAGTTTAATTGTATCTTATTCTCCATCACCAACCTTTTATCTAAAACTGGTATAAACGTGTCTCAAATGGCTGTACTTCAAATTATATGCACCATCTTTTCATTTAATAATCAGTGGTTTTCTCCAGAGGGAAAAAGACCTCTAAAGCATTTGCCCTATTTCCACCATTAAAATAAATGTATTCAGCCTCATCCATCATTTCCTGTATACTGTGGCATTTTTTTCTGCACAGTATAAGGATTCAAATCAGCCCTGCAATCATGCATGTAAATTTAAATGAAGACATCCAATGATCAAAGTGTGATTCAGGTAAAAAAAACTCTAAACATGCCTTGAAAGCAATAATGGCATTTTGGATTTGAGAAATGCTGCAAGTACTACTTCAGTATAGACAGCAAATGATTACATGGAGTCAAAAATGGATTGGAAGTAGAACGCCAATTTTCGTATTCAAAGGGAAAACATTGTTCAATATATGTAACAGATTTGCAAGTTCGAAGGCCAAAGCTTTGTGTGCTGAATCCTCATGAGACACAGTCTCATTTAAAAACAGAATTATAATTAATAAAACAGAACAGAATAGGAAAACAAATCCACACCTACAAAGTACAGTTCATATTTGCAATGCAGGAGAAGCCAACAGAACTCCTTAATATAGAGCTGATACACACTAGCGAAGGAGAAGGCGGATCAAGCTGATCATTGTGGATCACCAAACCAAATGTATCCAATACGTCAGAGACTAATATGGGGAAAAGAACATTTTGTTAAACATATATATACAAGCATTCATTTAGAGAAGGAAAAGAATGAAGAAGAAATTAATTGAATTTGAGAGTGGTATAGTGACATTTTCCAGATGCAGTTGAATGGTTAATCAATGAGATTCAGAAAGATAACGTTGAGTGGACCGTTAATTTCCCAAAAAACGGAACATGATTTCTATGTAGTGATCAGTAACAGGTAACAAAGCAGCAGAATGGAGATTGAGACCTTGAGCATTTGGGTTTGTTTATTTTGTACCCTATGACCCGACCGACAAAGGCAAGCATGCCATATGCCTTCTTAGCCACCTTATCCACTTGTGTTGCCACTTTCAGGGAACGGTGGACCTGTATGCCTCGTTCCCTCCGAATGTTAATGCTTCTAAGGTTCTGCCATTTACTGTAAACTTCTGTGCATTAGACTTTCCAAAATGTATCACCTTGCACTTGTCTGGATTAAAAATGCCATCTGCTATTTCTCCTACTAGATACTTCCTCACCAATCCACATCTCCCCCAATCTTTGTGTCATCCCAAACTTGTTACTCAGGCCACCTACATTCTCCTTCAAATTGTTTATATACATGTCACA